CGAATGCCAATGTCCGTTTCGGCGGGTGGCGACAGTGGGTTAGAGAAGAGTCTTTGGATTTGTACTCTTAAGCCTAACCAAAATCTTATTATAAGTGTGAGAAAGAAGGTTAGGTCAGAATATGCGTCAATTTCTAAATCCGGTATGAGTGCATGCAGAGGAACCCTATATGAGAACCGTAAGGAGTGGGTGGAGTAGCTATGTAGACGACAAAGGATTGTACCTATGCCTTGGCGATTGCCATCTGAGGTAAAAGGGAGAGTGAAAATGTTTTAGATGTGGACACATATGAGAGATATGAAAAACGAGGCGACCCCTAAGCCTCTTTGGTTATTAGTTAAATTTTATTTGGTGCATATATTGAATATATGAGAGATTGTTGTTGTTGCGCAACTAAGTATGATGTGGAGTTTCATAATTACTTGTGGTAACTTGCATATTATAATGTATGAAAAATTTGGGGGTTAGGGTTGAATGTATGATTTGGGACTTTTGCATGAATTGTATGTTTTGGTTATAATTGATATCAAATAAGTATTTTGTGATTAGATTAAGAGTGATTAATCAAATAAATCAAAACAATAAGTGTTAAAGATGGATTTGGAAGGGTTATGGGACCTTGAGTCACTATTTGTAAAGGATGGAATCTGTAGCAGCATTACAAACATGTTTAATGCACCAGGCGTGGTGAATGTGGTTCTCGGTACTAGGTGTTGAAAGTGTCACACTAGGTGTGAGAGACAAAAAAAAGGTTCCAAATTTCTTGGCATTGGGTGAGAATGGTTTCTCTAGGTATCGTTTGACGTTGTTTTTGCAAACGACTAGCACTAGGCATGATTAAAGTCACGTTGGGTGCGAGAGAATTAGAGGGGTCCTTGCATCCTCAATGTTGGCGTAGGAGTATCCATGTTGAGAGCGAATGCGACAAAGAGGTTCCTGACGTCACGTTGGGTGCAAGTTTTGTCTCATTGGGCTTAAGAAAGAGATAGTTAGAAAGAACAGTTAGTGTTGGAACCTATGAGGGAGAGTTACATATAGAAATTAAATAAGATAAAAAAAATGTGAGTAAATAAATTAAAGAAAGGGAAATAATGAAAATGATGAAAGAGGAAATGATAGAGAAAAAGAGATGAGTATAATAACCATAATTTGAGAAAAAAGATGAGAAGAGATTGAGTGCAACCATAATTGATTAATTAAAGGGGAGAAGTAAATATTGGTGAAAGTGATGAAATAATAAGAGTAAAGAGACGATGTTAGCGATGAGAAAAGGAAATTCAAGCAAAGGCTTGGTCATTTGAAGAAAGTCTAGACACAAATGTTTGATAACATGAGGATAATGGCACTATGCATTGCATTAATTGTTGTGTTTGATGAATTGTGTGAGGGTTCATATATTCATGCATAGTTTCTTTGGAACTGGTGTGAATCTATGCAAGAGGGTCTCTATGTTTTTCTACCTTGGTCTTGGGGGTTTTATGGTAGGAAACCTCTGACAAGTATTGAAGGTGACCATGACCAATTATAATACTCTGAATGGCATAGATCTTCTCCTAGTTAAGAGTAGATTAAGAGGGTCACCCACTGTAATACCCTAATTTTGAAAAAGGTTATTATTATTATTATTAATATTATTATTATTATTATTATTATATGGTATTTGGTCATAATTATTTTAATAATTATAGAGGAATATTATTTTGTACGTTTTAAATAATTATTATTTTGGACAATTATTTTGTACGTATTAAATAAGTATTTTAATTAAAACATTTTTTAAAAATGATTGTATATGTATGTTGGGGTAGAGGGTGTCACATTTAGTGGTATCAGAGCAGGTCGATCCAATCGATCGTGAGTTATGTACTTATCATGATTCTGTTGTGTACTCTGACAGAGTTTTGTTTGTTATGTACTTTGATGATGCTTTGCTTTGATAGTGATGATGATGATGATCTCCTTGTGTTGATATTGTTGAGTTTGATACTGTTAGATTATATTGTAATTAGAGGAATGATAGATAGTGTTAGCTAATATCATTATGACTACTCTTCTTCATTCTTATGAGTGCTGAATTGTTTGATACTTCTTGCTTACGTAAGAAGTAGTGGTTGGGTGGTATCGCTTGTGTTGCAAGCATATGTGTGAGTAGTAGTAGACGAGATATTGTGCAAATCAACTAGAAACTATTAGGACCTTAGATTTGGATGAGACATTGATTTATCGAGAGTTTACAGTTAATGGAGTTTCTGGAATCTATAGTTGTAGTGATTGAATCCAAGGAGGTTGTATCTGAGAATTCCCTAATCTCTTTTCTGTTCTTGTATATGGTGAGGGAGGAATCCCAACTTTGTTTTGTAATTTGTGAATTTGTTTGTGTACTCTTTTTATATGTGCTATTTGTGGTGATTGATATATATATATATATATATATATATATATATATGTGTGTGTGTGTGTGTGTGTGTGTGTGTGTGTGTGTATAATCAATTTTGTGTAAATTGAAGTATATGTGAATCTATGAATGCATGTAGTTCCTATAAAAAATCCTTGATTGAGCAACGTGAAGATTGATGTTAATTGCATTAATAGGTAAAATTGATGTTAGGCTTGAGTAATTGGTGGTATAATAGAGTAATTTTAGGCATTAATATATGTTTTTACCGATTGGATGAAATATTTGGGTTTTCAGGATCAACTTGTGTGATTTTCACACACTTTGTAGGATTTTCACAAACTAGTGTCATGTCGGATGTGATGATTCATAATGTTATTGTTAAGTTAGATGAAGCAATTCTCAGAAAGATTTTGAGTGTGACAAATATAATGCACGTGGTTATCTCTAACAAGTGTGTTAGTGTTTCAAAAGAACATAAGTACAAGAAAAGTGAAGAACAAGCATATGTATTAGATGATACAAGACGATAGACGAAAGGCTAACACAAGCATCCAACAAGCCAAATCAAGAACAAGACAAAAACGCGTCAAGCACAACCTAAAGCGAAACATAAAGACTCAGACGAAGGTTGGACAAAGATATTTTGAAAGTCTGACCATATACAAGTTGACCAGACGAAAAGGAAAATTCAATGCATTAACAACAAATGCTTAGACAAAGGTCAAGGTTTGAGCTACATATAGACTGCCAGATGTAGACGAAAGTTGTCATGCAACCACTTGAGGAATCAAGTTTCAAAGGACAATTTGAAAATCCTCCACACTCACAGGAGAACACACGAAGTCGTCGAAATTGTGAGAAGAAAAGAAGAAAGAAGAAAAGTAAGCACAAAACGTCAAATCCTAAGTGTGTCAAAAAAAGGACACCTACTTTTTTGATAAAGATAACATCTCTACAGCTAATCCCTAGGATTTTGTGAAAGTTAGAATCTGCAGATTCAGAACAATACACGCAATGTCTAAAAACAGGAAGCAACATTTAATGCAAGATCAAATGTATTAAATGAAAGGATCAAACTAGTCATGAAAGACTATATCAACTTCAACAGACATATGCAACGGACAAATTCTACAGGCCTATAAGTATGCAATAACCTCAAACCAAAAAAGTTTGGCAAGAAGCAACGAAAGAATGATCATAGGCATTGCCCTGGGCTCCGAGCTTTAAGCACCAAAATATAATATCAAGCCCAAAAGAAAAAATGAGAAATTAGAGATCGATTCTTCATAGTCAAATCTACAATGTATCATTGTATTCATCTCTGTAGTTTAAGGTGTTCCAAGTGTATCTTAGGAAGGAAACCTTAGTGAGTGTTATAACCTTATGTATCCTCTTTGTAAAGAGTAATCCACACACTCAGAATCTCTCTATGACTAAGGTAGTGAAAGCTTAGAGAGTGTAGATCATATATGTATCCTCTCTATGAGAGTAACCTAAACACTCAAACCTGATTATACGTCCATCATCTGTAGCCGCGAGGGGCTTGTCAAAGAATACTCACTACGAGCCTAAAGAGGCTGATTAAAGAATACTAGCACTGGTGAGTGAAGCTGGTGGGCCTAAAGAGGTCGAGAATACTTGGACCAGGAGTGGTTCTAACCTGGGTGGTCCATAATATTTACTGCTAGCCAGAAGTGGCTGATAAGAATATACTAGCGCTGGT